CCGCTTAACAATAGCTGAATGATGGCCATTTTAAGGCCGAAAATGCATCAAAATCACGTATTTTCACAATTCCGGAACCGGATCTCAGTCATGCATGGATGGATTTTGTTCAGATTTAGTACAATGTGTTGTACATATGCTAGTGCATTTCGGTCATGATCTGCTTTGAATGTATATGTCACTCAAATATGAACGGAACGGGGACGTGTCATTGACAATGACTTGTTTGTTTTAATATGCCTATATTCCATAAACGATCTGCTACAAGTCTCCCGAATAAATGATCTCATCGATTATGGTCGACATTTTTTATTCAATGTTTTTGTGTGCAATCATTTCTGCAAACTTGGTAGTATGGCACTTATTTGGCAACTTTTTTTTATTACCAAATTACCATTTTGGAGTACAGACGGTCGCCTTTTTGTGTGTAATCTGATGCACTTGGGTGGAAATATTGTTATTTCCGAATAAATGATCTGGTCGATTATGGTTGACATTGTTTATACAATGTTTTTATGTGCAACCATTTCTGTGAACTTGATAGCATGGAACTTATTTGCATTCATGATCTGATTCAATATGGCCGACTAGTGATTAGATTAGGTTACACATGCGCATTACAGTATCTAAAGCATTATGAATCACACGATTAGTGATTTTTATTTTATTTGAATGGAGTCATTTAGAATAACTTGTTGTTGTTGCTGTTCTTGTTCTTTATGGTGATGAAGGGTAAATATATTAAAACCATTGCCGGATTAGGAATAAACAACATGATTGTCATTTTCAGAAAATTTTAGAGGAATTTGGTCGCAAGAGGCTGCAGCACGAGAAATCGAAAATTAGCAAAGATCACAGTGGTGATGCGGAAAGTAGGCCTATCATTGGGGTAACTATCGAGAGGGCGCCCGAAGATGAATCTGCGTTCGAATCAGTGACGACCACCGTGGAACGCATCAACTCAGCTGAGATTCACCAATGGTATGTCATGTCAATAGTCACGTGTCGTATACTGTGACGCCACAATGTTCTTTTGCACTTGTCTGAATTATGGCTAGGGACGAACCATTTGAAATATTGGGGCCGAAAATAGCTCGAGATGTTGACCATTTTGTAGTTTAATCAATACACCAAGGTGTACATATCGCGTAACATACTAGTCTGCGTGACCAAAACAGGCTGACTGTAAACAAATAGAAAGCTTCTTAAGAATACATTGATCTTTGTTACAGGGCATCCCAGCAAGAGCTTCGAACCACTGGCACTTCGCGAAATGAGCTGGACGCACCGATTGTCTTTAGGCAGCGTCTTGGCAGTAATGACTCAGATCACAGCTCCACGGCTCGACTGATCGCTGAACTCTACCCCTCACCAGCTTCCAGTGACGCAGAGAAGAAACAATCCGATATATTGAAAAATAAATTACAAGTACGACGCAGTTCGAGACGATCTAGACGGGGTAGCTGGAAATCTGTCTCAGCGAACGAGGATGAGTTGGAATGTCAGATTTCCGATATCACATTATCTATGCAAGACGTTCTTCATAAAAAATTGGCAAGTAATTTCTAACCGTATAATATCAGTAATGTATATAGACATGTGCCACAAAATGGGTCCGATTTTTAGAAGCCACAGTCAAAGGCGGTGGCACGAAATTTTGCAAGTGGTCGCGCATTTTTGTTTCGAGACGGACAGTCTCGATGGAAGTCCATTTAAAGGGCGATAGTCGTCGCGTCACGCATGCGCGAGATATATGAGTCTCATATAAACAACTATGGCCACTTTGACTGTTGGGCAGGTCAACGAGTACAAACCGAGATGTTACCAAACTTTAATTAGGTATCTTTTAAGTGATTGGAAGGTATCGAAGGGGTCACCGGCGGTAATTAGTGAAAGGTCAAACCTCATACTTATGATTTCCATTAGAAGAGCGCATTGAGTTATGGGAAAATCAATGTTACCATCACAAATGTCGCATATGCTCAGCGCGACGACTACTGCCCTTTAATTCAGTTTTCAGTCTGTCAAGGGAACTGTGGTCTGAAAGAAAACACTTTTTCGGTCTGTACCATACAAAACAAACGAAAATAATAAAAACATTTTAATATGTAGAGGGTATATATATTTTTGGCAAATTGTTGAAGTGGGTATCCATTATCATATTGTGACTGTTTCGGAAACTGAAGGATGGGGATCCGGAAGTACTGACGAGTATCATAGTACTAGAGTCGAATTTTAAACATATTTGTTTACATCCACACTGCACGTGACAAAAATCAACTATGCTAAAGAATATTAATCTCTCAAAACAATGTTTAAGGTAGAAGCCTACTCATAAATTAAAAAACTCAGAATTTATTCATTTTGCAACAAACTGTACTCCAAGGCAATATAGGGATATTCACCAGCCTTATTTTCGAGATATTGATGGTTTTAATTTAGTGGAAAGTCGCCATTTTGGCACTATCATAATGCTTTTACCATAGGTTCCTATGGCAGAGATATTATGCAATATCTCAAAATCTAGCCTGGTGACATAGACTGAAAAAATCATATATTGTTAATGAAGGAGTACTTCTTGTTGTTCTGAATTATTTTAAAAATCTGGGTTTTAAAAAGTGTCAAAAAATGCAATTTTTTTTTAACATTGTGTACCATGGAATTGTTTTAAAAATAGCGATTTTCAGGAAATATTAGAACACGTTTCTCAAAAAACTTAACTGTAACACACAAAATAATGCTATTTCATTGTACCATGGGACATTAGCTTCATGATTGTACATAATAAACTAATGAACATTGTCATGCGATTTATGACCAATGTTGTCAAAAATTGTGAGTAGGCTTCTACCTTAAGATATTCTTTGCTTCAAAAACGTCAACAAAATCATCAAAATCGTAGCTCGCCCTTTCACAGGTTTGTCGTTGATGGCGCTGTTTATATAAGTTGCATTCAATTGAAATGAATCACGGTTTATATACGGTGTACAGTAATTATTCTCGCATACTATGGAATGCACTATAGTGACCTTATATCATTGGAAAAAGCTAATGGCACTATTCACATTATATGTTAATTTGTATTATTGATTTACTTGGATTTCAACATTTTAGATGAAATACCACCAAGAAATTGAACATCTTAGGAACAATATACGAGATATGGAAAGCCAGATGCAACTCATAGAAACTGAAAATCAGAAAAAAGATTGCAGGATTGAGGAATTGCAGACGTTATTGAAGGTATATCTGGTATGTGTGCGTGGTTGGTTTGATTGGAATAACGTGGAATAACTTGCCTAGTGCGTGTGTATGTGGTGCGTTGGATTCGAATGACAATTTAGTAGGTACTTAGTGTACGTGTGTAACTCGATAAATTCGGATGGCTATGTTTGAAATTACTGCCCCCTTGATTCTGGCTGCTGGCCATTTTCGTTCATGAAATCGTCGGATATCATCAGAAAACGCGGGATTTGTGCAGTTTTGAATAAAACTAAGTTAGCGATTATGATCATCGTTTATAGAAAGCACTTTCCCCACCCTCTATCGACGAAATGAGTGTGTGACGTAAATGCGGTTCACGATGTCGACATCAATATAATCTATTAGTTGTATAATCTATACAGCCAAACTTGGTTGTTGCAAGTAGACTTCAGTGGTTTGATCACAGTCCATCTATCATATATAGAGGGACTGTGGTTTGATACACCATGGCGTTTGATGCACACCCAGATAGAATGTAATACAATGCATATGGTTATTTTCAGGAACCAAAGCAATGCGATTGCAAGGATGGATCACCAGGGACCAGAGATGTGAATACACATATCTCCGCCACAGACGTTCAAGATTTGCTGCCCTCTGTGTCAGACTAGACATTAATAATGATAACTGATGTTTTGATGATCGCATCACATAAAAACAAAAGTTCATTGGGGGGCGATGGGGCGGTATTACAGCGTATTTAGACATGAATGTCTAAAGAAGGACCTACCATGATTTTAAAATATTTATTGTTTAAACCAAAGCACCACATGTAACTGAGTTGTCCTGTTGTTGTTCGAATAAATTATATGTATATATTATATATATAGTATTGTCGTCAATTAAAAAAGTCTCGATGGTTGGAAGTTTCAATTGAAATGAACAGCTCGAAAATTACCATTGGAAAGAAATAGCTCAATATCCATAACAAAGAAAGCCAGCTTGGTACATATTCACAATTCACAAACAAGACGAGAAAACTAGACACATTTAGAAAGAAATGCGAACACAGTGCACATCATTACCCATGATTCTAAGTAATCTGCACAATGTCAGCTATTCTGCATAAACTACGACACCTATAAATAACACATTAAGGTTATTCGTGGGCATTCAACCAATTAAAACAAGGGAGAAATGTGTTGTTTCAAACAGCGTTCAATGATAATTATTGATCTGAACGTATGAGATATGAGGAACCAACGCGCATGGTTAAATAGCTCAAAAATCGCCATTTTCATGATGGGCTATTTTTTGTAGAAAAGTAGTTTGATGGCCATGTTTTTAAGGAGGGTTTTCTGTACGGCATAGAAAAACACAGTGAACAAGAAAGCCATCAGAGATTGCAGAATTCCCAGCATCTTGCACAGGCACTGGTTGAACATTTATCTACAATAGTGTTCCAGACATAATACTAGTAGTTTTGCATTTTAATGAGGTTACATAACCATATACAGTTATTAAGTATGTTGATCAGATCTAACATAGTGGGTTCTGTATAACACTATGTGAATGTTTCTATCTGCAATAGTGGTACGACTCCGCACGAATGTACAGACTTACTGATGGACACTGGTAACCACTATAACCCCCGCCAGCACAATGTGCCCGGTGATAAATAATCAAGGAAATGTGATGATACATTCACCCCCCTCCCAATAAATGCCACCACTATACTTTGATCTATTTAGACTCGGAAATGGGATATATACTCCACACTTTTAGTCAAATTAGAAGCAGTATTTTCGAACAGAACCGCACATAAACAAAGAATTGAATTTATTTCATGCTAGATCACGTCTTATTTTGACCACAGACTGGCCTATCATGTTATACATATACGTATGTGCTTGTAATAGTGCAAATATGACATAACATATTTCTGCAACACAACATTCTGATTGGTCAAGAAGCTGTAGATACTGGTAGGTTGTAACAAAAGTATTGAACCAGGGGAAGATGTGTTGCATAACAGTCCCATATCCCACAGACCGTCTGACAATTTGGTTAGGGGGCCTGCCTGGCAAATAGGCCAAAGACATAAAAAAAACATGCTCTTGACATAATATTCAGAGAAAATCAGACAAAAGTACTGATGGTTTACCAATAAGTTGGCATATTTGAGTAAAGACCAATCGATAAATGTCCAGGCTGCAGAAAAAAACATGCAAAGCACATGCGTTGATTCTTGCTATTTGTGACTGACCAACCAAAGTGTACTCGTAACTGAAGAAGATATAAGACTGGTTGTGATGTCTGCCTTCCTTCAAACAAAAATCTAGTCGAGTACTGCTACAATGAAGTCCCTGCGTGGATTGGATGACAATTGGCAGAAGAACTTCAGTTTTTGGATACTCAAGATGAAGACGAATCTCCCAAGACAGCATGAATCTTAGTCAACACACTGAAGCAAAAGTCAGTCATTGCAGATAAGCACATTGAGAACATATAATTTGTTTTGATTAACAAATTAGGACAATTTTTTTCATAAAATAAAGCATTTGTGCGTGTCTGAGGCAAACATAGCAGTACATGTGCAGGTGATACTCCCTAGTATACAGAAACATAGTTAAACTCTGGTGACCTTGCCCTATTCTATTCACGTCTAAATGCAGCACTTTTTTTCTGAGATGAGGCATTTATTTTTATACTAAATTATGAACTACTTTGAATAATATTAATACAGAAGTACAATTGATGTTCAATTATTACTGATTTAAATTCAACCTGAATCAAAGAAAGCTTAGAAAGAACTCCCGTGTGCTGAGAGTATTGGAGACACATTAAAAATTAATTCAAAATGAAAACGCAGAAAACTAATTATGCAAATAAGGTAACTAATATGAACAGATTTAAGTGTAAAACTAATAAGGTCCGCACAATGTACCAAGTTTCATTGAAATGTGATTAGAACCAAAAAAATATTAATTATTATGCTAATTAGAGAATTAATATGAACAGATTTTAACCCAAAATTAATCAGGCTGTCTATTGTCCTAGAGCATTTATGTACCAAGTTTTATTCAAATGTGATGATCAATACTTGAGATATAGTATTAATTAATTATGTTAATTAAGTGATTAATAAGCATAAATATTTCCCAAAAACTAATATGGTGTACAGTCCTAGGTTCATTGCAATGTGATGGGTACTCTTTAAAAGTTTCATTGAAATCCAATGAGTGGTTTTTAGACATCAGTGCAACAGCCATAGAACAGCAAAAAATTAATTAATAATGCGAATTAGGTGATTAATATACACAAATATTTACCCCAAAACTAATTAGATCTCTGCACAGTCCTCAAGTAACTATGTACCAAATTTCATTGAAACGTGATCATTACTACCGGTACTC